GGTAGGTAGGTAGGTAGGTTAGGTGGGTGGGGTAGGGTAGGGTATGGTTGGGTAGGTAGGGTAGGTAGGCAGGAAGGTAAGTAGGTAGGTTAAACAGATAATGGCAGATAGAAACATATGTCGGAATATTTGGATAGAAGAAGGGCCCTGCCTTCGTCAGGCGAGCCGAGATCACGGAGGAGAGGCTACAAAAGACGGCCCGGCGTGCGGAGGCGAGGTGGAGAGTCGTTCTTGTAAGAAGCGTATGCCAGTTTCAGTTTCGTAACTCAGAGAGCAGAGGTGCCTTTAACCCCTAAATTCACAGGCTCGGAGAGAAATCTGAGTCCTTGGGTGAGCTTCAATCGTCCAGGCTGTGGGCCTGAAACTACGCATGGCCTCCTGCAGCCTGGAAGTCCTAGCATTGCTCCTAGAGCTACATTTGCCTGTGTATTCCCGTGATCCAAGTCCAAGTTTGTTGCTGAAGGCACAGAGCCAGTTCCTGGAGCACAGAGTTGAGACCGAGGAGGACACTGTGCTGGAGGTCAGAGCCAGGGCGGCCTCGGATTCCCCTGACAGTGTTCCAGCCGACGCCAGGCCTCTGCAGATGCTGTGGAGGAGCAAAGTATGGGCTCTTGGAGATGACGCAGATTGAAGCACATCCAAAGGACATCTGGTCCAACTTAGACGTGGAGACCGCACCGGAGGCCCGGGCCCCAGGCCTCATCCTTCTTTTTTGGGCTCTTTGCGCCGTCTCGAGGCTGAGATCGAGGCAATCCGGCAAGCCTTCAGTCTGGGCCAGGACTTCGTCCACATGAAGGCGTGTCCGCCGATGGCCTTCGGCTCTCCTTGGTGCTTGGGAAAACGGAGAGCCCTCTCAGGTAGACGAGGACTGGCCGGCCCTTCCCTTGGTGCTTGGAAGCGAGGCGAGCTCTCCCCGCCGAACGTGCCACGAGATGCACAGTAGCTCCGCGAGACCGAGCCGGGTCACAGTTCGAAGTTTCGGGTCCAACGGAAGAGCGCGTTGTGGAACGCTGTGGAGTCTTCGCGCGTGATCAGTGATCGCATGACGCCAGGCTTGGCATAGCAGTTGGGATGCTCCTCAGTCCGTGGTGGACCCGTCCAAATCAGTCAAAGCTCATTCCAGCTGTATAGGGCCGAAACGGTAGGTTTCAAATTCACCGCGTGCAGAGCTGCAGAATGTGTGCGTCTGCAGGATTTCCTGGCTGAAGACCCGCCGAGTCCTCCGCGTTTCGAGGAGCCTCCGCCTCAGGCCGAGGCTGCCCAGGAGGACGCCGAGCACGCCGAGCAGGAGGAGCAGGCGGAGCAGGAGGCGTGCACCCGACTGCGGCTCCCCTTTGAGTGATTGAATGCTTGCAGAGAGTGCATGAAAGTGTGAATGTGTTGCCTGTCGCGAGGTGCTGGAGAGCTCGCACCATGACGATGCATCGCCGAAACCGGTTGCTGAGGAGGCCCCGTGTTGGTGATAGACCTCGCAAAACCACTCAAACTTTCTGACGGTTCCGCGAAGCCTGGATCCCGGCAGGCACCTGACTTGGTGTCTTCCTTGAACGCGCTCTTCGCGCGCAGAGGTGGTCCTCTCGAGGTCAGACTGCCAGAGAAGTGAGCAGATGTAGACTATAGAGCGAACACTGTTGCAGCTCGCCGCCCGTTCAACCTTGAGCAATTCGGCCCCACGAGTGCAAGGTAGCCGCTGTGCATGCTCTATGGAGACTTACTTGCGTATTGTTCGCACCCCTGTGGGAAAGTGTACGACAATACGAGAGAGGTTTTCAGACAAGATCACTTCAGCAACTACACTCGTTGATGGGGGCGATGGTGACGTTTGATCACCCAAAGCTCCGACAGTTGATCGCAGCTTCATGCTGTGTGCGCGCCTCACTGTCACGAGAGTTCAGAAACGTAGAGCTACAGACTCTGCTGGTTCTGAGTAAGGCCACCGAGCACCAGCGCTTCGAGATGAGGCAGCTGCGATGTGCTTCCCGATGTTGGAGCGAGGTGGCCAGCGTAGAGCCGCTGCTCCTCAGATGCACCGCAAAATCAGTGCAACCAATAGTAACAAGAATAGTGAGACTAAGGATGAAAAGGATAATAAGGACAACAAGGATAAATAAGGTATAATAACGATAAAGAAGGACAGTAGTACTGTAATAGTGATAATAGTGACAATAGTGACAATATGGACAATAATGGTCATATAGATCATCATTACAATAATGATTTAGACGTTGCCTCGAACAGTAAATCGAGGGCTCTCTTTACAAGATAAGAGCTTGCTGGAAGGGTAGACATATGAATAGGTTATTGAACACTTAGTTCTGGGATATTGAACACTTAATTCTGGGATATTGAACACTTAATTCTGGGATATTGAACACTTAATTCTGGGATATTGAACACTTAATTCTGGGATATTGAACACTTAATTCTGGGATATTGAACATTTATTTCTGTGGTTATTGAGCACTTATTTCTGTGGTTATTGAGCACTTATTTCTGTGGTGATTGAACACTTATTTCTGGGATATTGAACACTTAATTCTGGGATATTGAACGTTCATCTACGACCACCCAGGCCCTGGTTTGGGGGGTCGTAGCTGAACAATCAAGGCCGGGTTAACTGTTCAGCTACGACCACCAAATGGCTGTTTTCGGAAGAGGCTCAAAGGAAAAACACTAGGTGTGGGCCGTAGTTGAACAGTTAACCGGGCCCTCAACTGTTCAGCTACGACTCCCTAAACCAGGCCCTGGGTGGTCGTAGCTGAACAGATAACGGGCCGCAACTGTTCAGCTACGACCCCCAAACCAAGCCTTGGGGGCTCGTAGCTGAGCAGTTAACCGGGCCCCTAACTCCACCAAGCTACTACCGAGTAAGTGCTCAACTACTGTACCACCAAATGAACTGTTCAACTACCACCAATTAAGTGTTCAGCTACCACCCAATTAACTGTTCAACTACCACCAAATTAATTGTTCAGCTACCACCCAATTAACTGTTCAACTACCACCAAATTAACTGTTCAGCTACCACCAATTAACTGTTCAACTACCACCAAATTAATTGTTCAGCTACCACCAATTAACTGTTCAACTACCACCAAACTAACTGTTCAGTTATCACCCACTTAACTGTTCAAGCACCGTGTAAAGAGTCTCTGTTATAGAGGAAGCCCCTAAATAATAATCATTATCATACTGATAGTACTAATACCAAAGAAGAATAACAATGATAATTGCAATAGGCTGTCTCAGGCGATTGCTCGGAAAAGTTCATTGAAAGACCAGACCAGCCAAGGCATGGATTTGCCATGCCGGCCGTTGCGCACGTGGCGATGCACTGGGGGATGTACAGCGAGCGTGGGCTGCTTTACACCAAGAGCTTCGGATCTCCCAGCGAACTTTGGCCGAACTGAAGAGTTTTCGAGGGGAAAGAGCAAGGTGAGCAACTTGACTGGCTGCAAGGATCTCGTGTGGAGTCACGACCCTGATATGGATCACGGAGATTTCGATGGAAGCAGCGAAGGCCCGGCTGCTGTCCCGACACTGCTCGGTTCCCGAAACGAAGAATGGAGAGGGGCGACGATCGATGCCTACACGGCTTACACGCTCTGGCGAGCCCTGCTCCAGCGGGTCTGCGACTGGCACGACACGCAGGGCAAAGAGAGGCCGCCTGGAGCCCGGCTGCCAAAGGATTCCGAGACTCTGACGTTCTGACCTACCTCGATTTGAGGTTCGGAATGGGCTTGGAGGTCTGTCGCTTGAAGCTGGGATCTGGGCCCGGCGAAGTGGAGGTCGAGGCACACTCTTGGAACATGAAGGTTGCAGAGGCATAAATGCATGCATCCCGAGTTTTGCAGCTTCTGGTTTCTTGGCACAGATGTCGCACATCATCTCTGGCACAGCTTTGAGCAGTCTGAGATCCTTTCAGGTTTCCCAACCTGCGTGTACGATTCCTTTGAAATTCCGGGGGCGTCCTGGATCGGATTCGCGCGCCGAGGCTGGGTAAATAGAAGAGGATAAGAAGAGGGGAGGCGAGAGAAGAAGCTGTGCCGGTGAAGGGACCCCTTGCCTTGGGGGCCGACAGAAATCCGTGCGGAATAGCAGCCGCTGTCTCGCACAGTGTCGGAGGCATCGACTGAGAGGCAACGTGAGCCCTTCCAAAGCTTGTGCCGTGCCTTGGCTAACAACGAGAGGACGTTAGGGACTTAGTGCTTGACCCTTGTGAGGACACTTCAGAAACTCCATGAGACTGGGACTCTCTGGGCCCTAAGACTCAGCTGAGACTCAGGAAAGGCCATCGACAATGGCCACGATCGGCGCCGCGGAGCAGCTTCGGACGCAAAGCCGTTGCTGGACCTGTGCCCCTTAGCGCCTGGGTGTCAGGCACGCCCAAGTGCTCAAGTCTTTATGGCACAAAAGCACGCACGAAAGCAAGAAGCGCCGGACAAATGCAGCTCCATTCTGCCATGAAAGGTGCAGCCGCTGCATCGATTTCATCCAAAGCCTGCGCTGCATGGCCAAAGAGAGCCCGAAGATGCCTAGCCTGTGGACAAAAGTTGCCTCGAAGCTGGATCAGTTCTTCAGTCGTACTATTCTTTGTATTATGATCAATCTCATTATTAATATTCTTGTTATTATTATTAGTAGTTGTTGCTGTTGCTCTTGCTGCTGCTGTACTAGTGGTCGTCGTCGTAGCAGCTAAAAATACAAAGATTATATAGATTAATGAAAGTAATATTTATACACGGTAAGTATAATTTCATAGTTCTAAGTATTTATAATTATAACAAGAGTAGTAGGTATCGCTATAATCGTTACTTGCTGACTACGACGGTAGGAGAGGATGCTTCGGCGACAGTGAAGCAACTGTCAGCGCAGCTGTCCCAGCCCCTGGCTTTTTTTGCTGCTTCATAGGTCACTTGCACTTAAGCTAGTCCTGGATTGCACAAGCCAATTTGAGTAAGCCAAGCGTTCTTCTCATAGATCCTGTGCTGCGCAGCATCGAGCATTGAGAGCACGTTTAGTATCGTTGCATCGATGACTGGTGTGTCAGGGAGAGGATGCTGCTGGACCGGCCGGTGCCGGCGGTCCACCCCTTCCGGTTCCTGTTCCCAAGGCCTCATAGCAACGGTCAGGCTGTCAGGGTCTGCGCCCTGCCGTAACAGGCGAAAGGCAAGGGCAAAGGCAAAGGCAAGCCCGGTGGGAAACCATCTTCGAGGTGCGCTGAGGTTGAATCGGACATGAGCTCCGGTGCTTCGTTTCGGAGGCCTACCGACAGCCTTTTCGACGACAGCGGCAGCTTACCTGTGCCAAGCTCACAGGTGCAAACCTCGAGCTGAACGCTAGGAGATACTCTGGCCGTTGCAAGTTGACATGTTGAGCCGAGGCGGCCCAGACATCCCCGGCGAAGAGTGGAACATCCTCGCTGTTCGACGAGCCGGAGATGCCTGCACCGGCCGCATCCTGAGCTTGCCACAACTGGTGTTTGGTGACGCCACGAGCAAAATGCAGGTTGCCGCTGTTGCGAAACCCACGGATCCGAAGGTCTGGAGAACTCGCAATTCGAACACCGTGATGCCGGGCGCGTGGCCGTGAAGTCTGCCGTTGTGAGGCGCTTTCGTTGAAGCCGGGCATGGCCTCGCTCTTTGACGACGAGCCTGCTCTCCCAGCAGCCCCAGCACAGAAGGCCAAGGCCATCAACGGAGTTGGGCAAGAGCGAAGTTTGCACATTGCCTTGCCAATTGCCACAGGCATCGCCTGCGAAAAGTGGAGCATCGTCGCTGTTTGACGATGATGCGCCATCACCACCAGCGAAGGCACCAGCCTTTTTTACCTTAAGCTGCAGTGAATTTTTACAGGGATTCGCTTGCCAG